GATTGTTATCAGATTTTACCTTGGTGATCAAGGGGATGACAATTCCATTGCAGTTGGCTACCACAAGATGCCCCTTTAGGTTTTGTTCTTTTGTCATTATGTTCATGACTCTGGGTTGCCCATGGAGCCTTGGTCATAGGAACCTTAGTAAAGAGTAGAGGTATCTTTCTTTTTTTCTGAAATAGAAAGGAAACCAAACAGGGTGGGTCATAATCTTGAAAGGTGTTGGGAGAGGAGAAGGTCATTGATTGAGCTTTCTTTGATTGTCCTCAGTGTTCTCTGTGAAGAGGTTATCATATGCTAAAGTGAAGGGTTGGAGGTAAGGGGAGGTAAGAACAGATTTGAAATAGTTTTTTAGGAAATTAGATAAGGTGTCAAAAGGATTTTAGAAGGATTGCTTAGTAGTGACAAAGACTCAGCTGGGGTTATATAGTATAAATTTATTGTGGGTGGGATTTTATGAGTCTTTAGCAGTTCTTAGTAATATCTTTAAAGTGCAGATGACCCTGGAGGACCATACCTTAAGTCCTCATAACCTAGTGCTCCTAGTTATTGGGATAATTGGCAACCAGCTGAAGACAAGACAGGAGAGATCTGTCAGTCATAGTCACCCTGTTAGGTGGTTTTGCTCAACTGTTTTCCGGGAATGATTTTGTAGGTTTGTTTAGACATTTGTTGGAAAGTATCTGTTGCATCAAAAAAGTGCCAATAATATGTTTTAAAAGAAGATGACACAGAATAGGCTCCTGGTTTGGGATAGGGGTGGGGAAGATGTCGAGGAGAGGGAAAAAGCAAAGAAGAAGAGTGAGACTAGAAGGGAATATATATGGATATTGATGGGGAAATGGGAGGCCAATAGGAACAAATTTTTGTCTACTTAATATGTTTTTTTTAAAAGAGGCAACTGGGGTTAAGTGACTTGCCCAGAGTCACACAGCTAGTGAGTATCTGAGTCCAAATTTGAACTCAGATCTTCCTGACTCCAGGACTGGTACTTTATCCACTGCACCAGCTAGCCACTACTTAATATACTTTTTAAAAGTTTTATTGTTGCACTTTCTAGTGACCTCCTGACCCACCACTACCCACAAAGGAATCTTCTCTTGTTTAAAAAAGAGAAAGAAGTACAGTGAAGCAAAACACACTAATCATATCAGGAAAAGAGAGATGAAAGGCATGTTTCACCACCAATTCTGAGAAATCACAATTATTAAAAATATTCCAAGGTCCAATCTTGATTTTGTGTCTTAAAATAATCTTACTAGGGGGCAGCTAGGTGGCGCAGTGGACAGAGCACTGGCCCTGAAGTCAGGAGGACCTGAGTTCAAATCTGACCTCAGACCAAACACTTGACACTTACTAGCTGTGTGACCCTGGGCAAGTCACTTAATCCCAATTGCCTTAAAAAAAAAAAGAATAATCTTACTAGAATCATAGAGTTTTAGAATTAAAGATATATTAATACTTCTGTGGTGATGAAATGGACAGCTAGGTGGTGCAGTGAAAAGAGGGCTGGACCTGAAGTTAGGAAGACTCATTTTCTTGAGTTCAAATCTGGCCTCAGATACTTATTAGCTGTGTGACCCTGGGCAAGTCACTTACTCTGTTTGCCTCTGTTTCCTCATCTGTAAAATGAAGTAGGAAATGGCAAATCATCCTGTATCTTTGCCAAGAAAACCCCAAATGGGGTCACAAAAAGTTAGACATGACTGAAAAAAGACTCAACAACAGCAAAAGTGATGAAACACTTAGAAGGGTACCCAAGAAAGACTGTAGAGCTTCCATTCCTGAAGACCTTCAAATTTCAGAGGATGATTGAAGCACGTCCACCTTCTTATAGAGAGATGATGGACTCAAGATTCAAAAAAAGCCATGTATTTTAGGACCCACACAATATGGGAATTTGTTTTGCTCAGCTATGCCTATTTGTTATATGAGTATTCTTTTTTTTCACTTGGGAGGTTGAGAGGGAGGGGGCTAGGGATGGAGAAGCTGACAGAAAAATGCCCAAAAGAGACCAGAGAGAAAGCCAGAAACAATCATAAACAAGCAGGACAGTTTTGAAAATTACATGTTGAGTTTTTTATTTATTTAAAGAGAAAAGCAAGTCATACATAACAGAGCAGGTACTTTTAACCTGGGGTCCACTAGGGGTCTGTTAATAGAGTTCAAGGGATCCATGAACTTGAATAGGAAAAAATTTATACTTTTGCTTTCATTAATCTTTGGTTTCCTTTGAAATCCTATGTGTTATATTTTATGTATTTAAAAACACAATTCTGAGAAGGGGACCATGGGTTGTATTAGACTGCTAAAGGGATCCCTGACACAAAAGAAATAAAGAATGTCTATAATTGAGATATATCATTTCAGGTATAATCTTTTTGTCTTCCACTGTGTATATGGAAATGCTTATTTTATTTGGTGTTTGTTGAGTGCAGAATTAAAAACAAACAAACCTCCTTCCAGAAGGAAAAAAATGGACTGCCGTCTGGCATGGTCATTTTATATATGAAAAATTGACAACCTATAGTAGAAAAAAAGTATCAAATTTGTTAGATTTATAGATTCAAATTTTGTACTGTGTGACCTTGGGCACACTGCTTAAATTTCTCTGTTACTAGTTTCCTTTAAAGAGAAGGTGCTTTAGGGGTAGCGAGGTGGCGCAATGGATAAAGCTCTGGCCTTGGAG